GAGTTGCTATGAGTCAAATCTACTCGACAGCAGTGAGTTTTTCTTTTTTTTTTTCCAGGAGTGGAAGGAGAGGGAAATGTAAGCCACTAGCTAAAAGGCAGACACATGTTAACCGGGGTGAAGGATAAGGCAACATACAATAAAGGAGAGGTCAGTACAAAACGATTGAAGCAAAGGTAGACACTGGGAGGAGTACAAGAGTTAAAAGCAATAGAGATAACTACTAATACATGCACAATCCTACAAAAACAAAAATAACATTAATCCACGAGTGAATGCATAAATAGACACGTGAGCTGAACAGACATGGTAAGGAGAATGGGACTAAACCCACAATATATATAGGTTTGACAAAGGTTATTTCTACATATGTATTTACATATGCTATAAATATATCCATGAATATAATAGAGCATTGTGATGGTTGGAGCTGTGTGTCAACTTGTGACCACAATTCTGTGTGGTTTAAGCAGTTATGATGTGGGTTATTCCCCTGATGGGATCAGATGTATATGTTTTGAGCAGCGAATCTGTTTAAAGCGAGTTTCCCTAGGGGTGTGGCCTGCTTCTAATATATTTATGGACAACCTGGGAAAAGGGACACTCTCTGTGGATTGGGATCCTGTTGTGCTGCATACAACTGTCCGTGAACGAACAATCCACCATTTGGCCTGGAGATCTAGGATTCATCACTCATTGTAGTCAACAGCCAGCATACTGCCTGCCAACCTTGAGCTCCTCAGCCCCTGCAGCTGTGTGAGTCGGGAAGAGCCTCCAGCTTGACGTTTGATCCAAGAACTTGGGACTTGCCAGCTTCTATAAGTGTGTGAGCCATTTTCCTAAGATAAATTTCTCTTTTTCTATATGTATATATAAGTTTTACTGGTTTTGCTTCTCTAGGGAATCTAGCCTAACACAAGCATACAGGGGGTTAAATTATGAAAACTTCTGATCCATGACCAAAAACACCAAGGACATGAGTCCCTGAGCCTGGGGACTCAGGACCATAATCTTGAGGGACATCAAGTTTAGTTGACACAACATAGTCCACGAAGAAAATTTCTACATCCTACTTCGGTAAGTAAAAACTGGGGTCTTAAAAGCTTGCAAGAGGCCATCTAAGGTGCAACAATTGGTCTCTCCACATCCAGAGCAAAAAAAGTGTGAAGAAAATCAGAAACACAATGAAACAATTAGTCCAAAGGACTAATGAACCACAAGAAACTCAGCTTCCACCATCCTGAGACCAGAACTAGATAGTGCCTGGCTACCACTACTGCTTTCTCTGAAAGGATCACATTAGAAGATCCTGGATAGAATGGGAGAAAAATGCGAACAAAACTCAAAATCATAAAAAAAGAGCAGAATTACTGGTCTGATAGAGACTGGTGGAACCCCAGTGACTATAGCCCTTAGTCACCCTTCAGACCTAGAATTGAACTCATTTCTGCAACTCACTTTTCAACCAATTAATAGGTCTACAAGGTAGACAATAACACTAGGAAGGTATGCATTCCTTAAAACAATCAACCATTCAAGATCACAAGGGTAGTGTTTTCCCCAGGATAAAGTTCAGAAGGCAGGAAGGGTTAGAAAGAAGGGGGTATGGAAGTGAGTAACACAAGGAGGAAGTGGGAGAACTGATGTCACATTGAGGAGATTGCAAGCTGTTCAATGTAACAAAATGTGTGCAAATGGCTGAATGGAAAACTGATTTGCTCTTAAAACTTTCACTCAAATCACAATAAAAACTTAAAAAAAAAAAAAAGAACTACCTATACAGGATCAAATTGAGAACAACAACCAGAAGATTAGATAGAAATCTTAGGGGTCAGTGAGTTTATGTTAATGAGGGAGGAGCAACTCAGAAAAGGAGAGTGAGAATGGTTGCACCACTCAATAAAATGTAATCTGTGTCACTAAATTGTACATGTAGAAACTGTTAAATTGGTGCATGTTTTGCTGTGTATATTCTCAGCAACAACAAAATGAACATTTTTTTTTTAAGTTACTAGTTCAACAAACCTACCAGCTATTCCTCACAAGGAAGACTGAGCAATCTACTTCCGTAGAGATACTGCCTCGGAAACCCAAGGAGGGGTCGTTGAGTGGGGACTGACTCCACAGCAGTGAGTTTGGTTTTGTTTTTTTGTTAATTCAATAAATATGTCTTTTGTGTTTCAACTATGGCAGGAGATATGCTAAATAGGGTCACTATGAGTTGAATCAACTCGACAGCAGTGAGTTTGTTTTTCTGATGCTAGAGACAGGGAATAAAGGGGTGAGAAACAGAAGTCTGATTCCCATGTTTCTGAAGCTCACACTACAGTGAGGAGGCAGATATTTATCCGATAATCATGCAAATCTCTAACAAGCATTTAGAAAAGTCTACAAGGTCTACATGGTCATATGACCACATTTAAATAGGAATTTGAAATATCAGGATTGGTCAGGGAAGGGTTCCTTAATGGAATGAGATACATGTGAAGAGTGAGTAGGAATTAAATGGGAAAGGTTGAGGGAAAGAGGGAGCTAATGAGTACTTCAGACAGAGGGATCAGCAAAGACCCTGTATCAGGTGGAAGAGTAGAAGGCCAAGGTGACTAAAGCAGGGAAGTGAGGTAGGGGGAGGGTGCATGTAAAATGAAGCTGGAGATGTAGAGGCCAGGTGCATGCAGGTCTTGAAGATTGTATTATAGGTTTTTGTTTGTTGATACCAAAATAAATGGGAACCTTTTAGAAAGTTGTAATCAGGAGGATGGCATGATTAAAATTTGCTTTTCAAAAATATTAACTTCCTGCAAAGTGCTGACTGAAAGAAGGCAAGAGTAGACACTGGGGCTTTGTTAAGGTGATGGAAGGGTAAATGGAGATATGTGAATGAATTAAAGACATGTGGACAGTAAAATCAGTAAGACCTGGTGAAAGATAAAGGAGTTAAGAGAAGGTAAGGGGTGATACAATGGCAGCCCTAGGTGTCTGGCTTACAGAACTGGATGACTGGGAAATGGTGCCATTCACTGGGAGAGAATACTAAAAGAGGACTGGAGTTTTGACAGGGGCTTGTGGGGGAAGGGTGCTGATAGAGGCTGGAGGTGGAATGGGGAATGGAAGGGAGAGGGTACTGACCAGAGTACCAAAATTTGAGGGAATTTTTTATAACAGATTTCAAACCCACTTAACTTTGGCTTTTCAGTATTTTATTATGGCACACAGGGTAGAGTATGGTACAAGGTTCTTACTTCAGTCAAATAATCCTCAAACCAACTGTTTCCATTTGGCTAAAATTACTTTTCACACTTAGTTTGCATTTATCTGAGATTTATCATGTGCATCCATTCTATCTAAAGAACATAAATGTGAAAAGCTTGGTTTCTGAGGGAATATCTGGTATTTACAGAAGCCTGTGGACTGAGAGCCTTCCATTTCAATTCATATTATCATGATAGATAAAGCCATAATTTACCTACTTGCCTGATAACAAATTTTTAACTAGAAATGGATAGTGTGAAGGAATCAGTTATCTTTAAATGGAAACCACTTTGCTTCCAGATTAAATTCATGACCTTTAAAGGTTGTCTAAAAAACAAATATTGAAAGAAATTAGCTGACAGTTATTTAAGAACAGAAGCAGAAGAGCGAATAGTCATTTCATCTAAATTCCACATCAAATGCAAGTGCAAGAGCTTCCATACAATGGACAGGGATGACAGATGGGTGTGTTATTTGATACAATTTCCAACCAATTAAAGGTAACATTGAAATCAGAGTATTTCCCAATAAATGCATGCAGAGAAATGCCAACATGACATACAAGTATATAATCTCCCCCCATAAGTGACTGATAATAATTTTATAACCATCTACCTGTAGTTTTTAAAAGGTGAAAAAGAAAGTGTGGCATTAAGTGCTAAATACTTGAGCAACAGAATTAAAGCTAACAATACACTGAATCATGAGCTCAGGATGGCAGGCAACATGTTTGCAGGGGCCAATACCTTTGATCTTCTTACCCTCTTCTCCCAAAAGTACACATTGATAAAATATTATTCCTTCTGATTATGTCAGGTTTCAATTTCTGCCCACGATATTTAAACTTCTTTTTAAAAATATATTTATAGTGATGAGTAATAATGAGTGATGAATATGAGGGATTAATATTCTATCCATATTGGATCCATCATCACATACTTATGTTAATTTATCTGCATATCATAAAAGGTACATTTGTCATATAAATTCAGAACTTCCTCCAAGAAAGCCATTCTCCAATCTAATATAGTGTATTTTATGGGGCAAAATATTTGCTCTTTATTAAAGAAAAAGAACCCAGATACTCTCTCCTTTACTCACGTTTACTTTCAGTAAAAATTTGGAGGGGAGAGAATTCATGGATGGTCATGACCTAACTATACCTGTCAAGATTACCAACTAAGAAAATATGCATTGTAGTTGTAAAATTTTGATTCAAAAAACCTATTTAGAGGTCAATAGTCTGCTTGTATATGGCTTATATGGGTGCCTTCATCAAGATATCTTAATTAAGTCAACAACCACAGCAAGAAATGATATGTCATTCAGTGTAACTTTATTTACTATTTATTGCACATAACTCGAGGTCTTTAATTTCTAACCACCAATGGTTCAAAGGACTATTTTTTTCCATGAAGTTTAACATTAACATTAGTGAGTTCATTTGTTCATGTTGTTTTTTATTGTAAACATCTGAATTATTCACATTGCCATAGATCCTGAACTCAGAAGCGTGTACCATGCACAGGCTGGCAGCAAGCCAGGAAGCCACTCTGCAAGCAAACAGATACTCTGCATAAGGAGAAAATTCATAGCACAACATTGAATGTCCAATCTAAGTCATCTCTGAATTATACATATATTGACTTCTTAATTCATATAGTATCTGGAATCCAACTGATTGGTTGGTGATGGGGTTGACCTGACTTCGGGAGGATTACTCCGGAAATAACTAAGGAAAGGGGGGCTCAATCTTTCTTCTTGGTTGCTTGCTCCTCTCCAGCACCTTCATCTTTTTTCTCTTCCTCTTCAGCTTCTTTGGTTTCTTCTCCTTCTTCACCTTCACCACCTTCTTCTTCTCCTTCCTTTGCTTCTTCAGATTCTTCCTTGGCAGCTTTAAGATAAAATTTACAAAATTCAAATGCAGAGTAATTCCAGAATTAGAAAATGTTTCTTTCTGGTTTTCTGTGGTAACTCAAACGTCAGAATGCTTACCAGAAGGCTCTGAGCTCCACTCTCCAAATATACAAATTACTCGCATGCTTAGCATGAGTAATTTGCCACTAAACACATATTTAAATAAAATGAAAGGACTTCTAGAATTTTAAAATTCTATTCCTCTCCAAGACCTAACCTCAGTGTTTCTTTTAGTATATGTTCGGTATTCACTTCTACTGAAAATAGTTAAAAATGAAATTTAGCAGGAATAAAAAGGCAGCTGGAGGGTGATATTTTTAAATGTATATTCAAAAAAGTATTAAACTAATTAGAGATGGATATCTCTGGGAGGATGGCCAATTTGTCAGATTACCTAACTCACAGAAGGTGCTTACTAGAGGTTTGTTAAATCAGTGGATAAATGTATTATTTAAGACTCTAATATCATATATGAATAAAGCTTCTTTGGCATAAGGGATAGGCCCTTTCCTATCTATCTCCTAACAAACATCTAGAAGTTTAAACTAGAAGTTCTAGGGGTTTGTTTTATCATACCTTCTTCCTCTTCGGCTCCCTCCTCTTCCTCACCCTCTTCCTTCTCCTTTTCCTCCTCCTCAGCTTCTCCTTCAGAAGGGGGTTCGTCCTTGGCCTCCTCAGCTTTAGCTGCCTCGATGGTCTCCTCCACCTCAATCTGCTCTTCCTGGACGTGGCTGGTGTAATAAGCTGGGAAGGAACGGGCAGACATCAAGTAGGAGCTGGTCTGTAAACCACTGTAGGCAGATCGGCCAAAGACCTGGGAACTCTGGGAGTAGCCACTGGCTATGTTTCCCACGCTGGTAAAACTGAGCCGGGTCTCCTCGCCTTCCAAAAGCTTCCTGAGAAGACAGAGGGAAAGTAGGGTTAAAAATCATGAAAATAGGGAGTCTTTTTAATAACCTTCTCTGAACCTACCACTTACCACTGGGCCCTAATGCCACCTCAAAAGCATGCCGGAGCAGAGTGGGAGTCAACAAACTTAATAAACTGGGCGTTTTGTGACTGAGACCAGGAAAACATCTACATTAGGTTTAAAATGTAATGTGAAGCTAAGAACTGAACTCATTATTACAGGGTTAAATTCTTATATATTTGTATGAATATTTTCTCTAAAATGAATAATTAATAATTATCTCAATGGGAAGGACTGTTTTTGAGTTTAACATAACTTTACATAGATTTTCTTCCTAAGGTTTAAAAGGCTGCTCTTTTTGCCCCTTTATTCTTACCTGTAAGCTGCAATCTCAATATCCAAAGCCATCTTCACATTAAGGAGGTCTTGGTATTCTTTGAGGTATCTTGCCATTTCACTCTTTGTGGTTCTCAATTCATTTTCCAATTTGTTGATTGTGTCCTGTTGACAGACCAAAAAATAAATGAATAAACAAATAAATTCAAGCATACATCCTTACTGCCAAAAGGCCTAGTTTTCAATTATAATCTAAGTGAACACCTTAGATAAAACATCCCCTAAAATAAATAGTTTTTCTCCTTTCAAATCTTTCTTTCCTTGTCTAAATTATCCAGTTTCCTAAACGGTGAAATGAAAAGAATTTTTTTTTTTAATTAATACATTCTAAAGATCAACATAAAATGGCTGCAAGGAAATTGAGTTGATTGAGTATCTTTATTTTTCACTCACTGATCACTGATTAACTCTTCTTTATCCAGGTCACTCACAAGCAAGAAAATGAATCCATTGCTTTATAAATAAATTTAAAAATTTTTAATAAATATTTTATAAAACAATTTATTTGTTCTAAAATATTTTTATATTATTTTTTCTTCTCTTCAGAAGATGTAGATCCTTTAAAAAGCAATGGTTTACTGTAAACATTATTAGCTAATTACCTACAACAATTTTGACTGTATTCCTGCCTATCTGCTAAGGAAAGGGAGTAGTTGGTAAAAAATCATAAAGCCTGTTGGTCACAGTTATCCTTGAGAACTAATGAAAGCTATTTTCTGTCTTTATTCATTATATTTTCCAGTATTTAATGTAATGCAACTTATAATTAATGCAGGGTAGCAGAGTGTAGATGTCACTGCAAACTACAGCCAACGCCCAATTCCCACCTTTCTTCCCCCACCCCCACCCATCCACCTTTGCAGGGCTGGGTAGATTTGATGCAGAACACAAATTCAACTGCACAGCAAATCTTCCCAAACTGCAACAGCGGGCCCCCACCCCTCCCACACAGTCTCTAAGGAAGCAAGTCCTACCCTCTAATATGCTGCATGCAGATAGATGTCTTATTCTCCACTTGATGCTCGCACCCTTCAAACCACCCCCTCTCATTCCAAAAAAGTCCCCTCCCCACTGTGTTTTGGATGGTGCCAATACCTGCATAGCACTAATGTCAGCGTTCTGTTTGTCCTCCAGCTCCTGCAGCTGCTTCTCCAGCGCTTCGTTCATGCCCCGGCACGCTTCGATCTCCAGGGTCTTGGCCTTGAGCAGGCGGCGGCTCTCGGACACCTCGTCCTTGGCGGCGCGCACGGCATCGGTGTTCTTAGCTGCGCTCTCCGTCAGCACAGTGAAGCGGCTCTTGAACCACTCTTCGGCATTCTGCATGTTCTTGGCGGCCAGCTTCTCGTACTGCGCGCGGATGTCCTTGAGCGCGGCGGAGAGGTCGGGCTTGGTGGACACATCCATCTCCACGGATATCTGCGCGTACTGGATCTGCGCCTGCAGCTCGGCGATCTCCTCTTCGTGCACTTTCTTCAGAAAAGAGATTTCATCCATCAGGCTGTCGATGCGTTTTTCGAGCTCGGCGCGTGCGAGAGCTGCCTCGTCGGCGCTTTTGCGCGCCTCCATCAGCCGGCCTTCCGCGTCCTCGCGGCTCAACATCTCTTCTTCACAGCGCGCCTGCAGGTTGCGCAACGTCTCCTCCAGCCCTTCGCGCTCGCCTTGGAGCGCCTGCTTCTCGTTGGTTGCGTCTTCCGCCGCCAGGCGCAGGTCGCGGATCTCCTGCTCGTACAGAGCCCGGAAGCGGGACGGCTCGGAGTGCTTCTGGCGCAGCACCAGCAGCTCGGCTTCCAAGACCTTGTTCTGCTGCTCCAGCTCGTGCACGCGCTCGATGAAGCTGGCGAAGCGGTCGTTGAGGTCCTGTAGCTGTGCCTTCTCCTGGGTGCGGATCGACTTCAGGTCGTTGCTGATGGCGGCTACCTGGCTCAGATCGAGGTTCTCAAGGCTGGGCATCAAGGAGCTGGAGCTGGACGAGTAGCTGCGGCGCACGGACAGAGCGGAGGAAACCGGCGCCGAGTAGCTGGAGTAGGCAGAACGCGCGGTGCTGTAGCCGCTGCGCACGCTGGAGATGTGCACCCGGGGCGTCTCCACATAGCGCCTCTTGTAGGAGGTCGAATAGTACGGCTCATAGCTGAACGAACTCATGGTGACTGTCGGTGGCTCTCAGGCTGGCGGCGGATATGGGGCCCTAGGAAGAAGAAAGGACGGGGGAGACTGGGAGAGGGGAGGATGAATGGCTGTGTGCAGCTCGCCGCCGTCCTGCTACCCCTATTTATACCCAGGGAGCTTTCTGACGCAGCCTGCGATCGATCACGGCGCTCTCGGCCAGTGGGGGCAGCGAGCTGCTGCAGCCAAAGGGAGGATTCTGCGCAAAAGGAAAGGCGGGGGCGAGTGACGGGCAACTAGGAAACTGCGGCTCTCTAGTCCTTTCTTTTCTTTGAGGCCCCTCTATTTTCTCCAAGACCCTGTACGCACACTCATTTCCTTACCTTACCCCTCCATCCTACTTACTCCTTGACTCTATTTCCCTTGAATGCTTAAATGCCTCGAATACCGCGTTCTCACCCCCCTACTGATACCTTAGTTTTCTCATATCATGGTAACTCGGAGACTTCCTTCCCCGCAACGGGCCCCTTCCCCACCAGAGACCTCCTTAATCACCCCTCCCCCTTGGTGTTTCTCTTGACAGTGCAGTGCCTCCAGGGCATTTGAGATACAAATGACAGTCTAGGGATACATATATGCGGCATTTATGGAGGAAAGTTTTAAATTTCTTTGTAGATTTTTCTAGCACTTCCTTTAATCCGTCTCGCTTTTTCTTGGTTAGCTTTTCTTTAAAAGCTTCCCCATACACAGTGGATAAATCCCCACCCCCATAAGTCAAACTGCAGCACTGAGGTGTTCGTTTTATTATTTCTAAACTCTTTGCTCAGTTTATCATCCTGTTAGTGTTCCTAGATTTTCTGATTTTGTTCTTGGGTTTTGGAGTCTCGAATGCTTTCAGCCTATGTATGTGGATAAGATCTGGGAAAGAGTTTGAAAATAACCGTGAAGACGACTTGCAGTGGCAACCGGGCGCTCTGCAGCGGGGAACTTTAGGCTGTCACGTTGCCTCTATCTTCTTCGCCAGGCTAAATTCCTGCTTGACACCACCACCTGCATGACACTACAGCCTGCTTTCCTCTTTTGCACACTTTGTAGCACTCAGCCTGATTTAGACAAGCCATGAATGTTGCCGATTTTCAGAGCGAATGTACTGCAGCCGGCCCGAGCGCCCGGGGCGGTCTCCAGGGAGAACACTGCCCAGAGACATCTCGTTTGGTGCGAACGGAACTGGAACTGCTGCGTGATACTTCTCTCCATTCCTTATAATAAATAGATGACAGATGCAGTCAGAAATCCACAGATTGCCCTTAGGAAACACCCAAATACCTAAAACAGTGTGCGGGCCGTAATGTATGTTACTGCAGCTTGTGGATTTGCAGAGCATTTTCATGCTCATTGTATCAAGCAGTCCCTCTAGTTTAGGGAAGGGATTGCAGAATCTACCTAAGAGACCTAAGATTTTCAAAGCCAGCACTGTTTTTGTTTTATATGTATAACATCTGAAGAACAACTTAACAGATTTCTTTATTTAGGAGGTGAAGGAAGGAGAGACATGCAAAGGCAAAGGCTCAAGGCCAAGACCCTGTGTTGCTCAGAAGGTGAAGGACTATGAGTGTGTGCTACACCTGCTTCTGGAGGAATTGCACCTCTTTCCCCAAAAGGAGCAGGCTTTCCCCGAAAGGGTGAGGCTCAACTTTTGAGGTCCTTTCCAACTCTAAAAACCTGCTTCTGATACTCCACCCTCTTCAAGGTAGACCAAGAATGGTGGCAGCTGAGAACACTAATGAATTGTTCTTTTGTTTTGTTTTATTTTGTTTTAACAAACTGTATTGTGTCAAATAATGCAAATTCAGAAAACATTAATATTGGTTAGTTTCAATCTGTCAAGACTAAATTATTTCAGAAGCCCCACCAAGTTCCAATACTGTAGGAGTTTAAGCCCAAGGCCATTAGGCTGTACTGAATATGATCTGGCCCTTGAAGCCTTGGGTATTTGATCTCCTGTTTTTTTATAGCCTCCCTATCTTTGGTCTTCTCATCCACCAGTGCTCCCACATTGAGAAAGGCTTCTCTAAGGAAAGAGAGAGGGAATGTGGATAAATCCTATTTTTGTCTGCCCTCTATTAGCCATATGTGAAAGAAAAGTGGCAGAATGGATTGTTTTGATTGGGGAGAAAAAAAGCCTGCTTCCTATCAACCACACTGTTGCACACTCACTGTTTGTGAGTCTGCCTACACCACAATCTTAGATATTCATGAATGCATTTCATTTGTGCCAGCTCCCTACCCTATGAGTTTCGGGTCACCCTCAGAGAACTTAAGTCCATCAGCTTTTTTTTTTTTTTTTTTCCAAGGTTGCTTGCTGAAGCTGAAGTCTTGACTGCAGAGGAAGTCTTCCCAGAAGCAAGGGCGGTGGCTGATGCTGCAGGGGCAGAGAGATGTTGCTGAGAGAAGAAACCTGTGGTGCACACGCTGCCATCCTTTGGGTATCTGAAAAGGAGGCATGAAGGAGTGGTGAAGGGTGAGACTGAGATGGGGGGTGGCTTTCTTTTGCTGCACTTGGTGAGCAGGGCTTGGGAAGAGGGGCAGACTACCTGTATTTAGGAACATAAATCTCAGACCTTGTTAGTGACTTCTAACTAGGAGATTGGGTGACAGCACCTGCCAACAGCAGCTGCCTCATTCTCTACCACAGCCTTGCTTTAGGGAAGCTCGCTGAACCTGAACTTAGGGTTTCCAGCCTGTATCTGCATTTTGATTGCCAGACCTTCACTCTTCCTCTGCTATGTGCCTGCCTCTTTTCTAATATTCTGTCCAGTCACCCTCCTTTTTAAATCCTTTACCCAGCATTTTGTTCTGCATGCCTACAGAGCAGTAGTTGCTCTATGTGTAAAAGCAAAGATAAAATGATCAACTTTAGGAAATATAGTTGGGGGGGCGACTTGACTTTTTTTCTTTCCCTTCCCATAAATATTTCTGCATTAGTGTTGTTTGTAATAATGTCATTCTTTCTTTAGAAAAATCCTTTTGAATCTTGTCGCACACTTGTGAACTTATTTCTCCACAAATATGAACATGATTGAGGGATGCCAAAAAAACACAATCCTGTTGTTAGGTGCCGTCAAATTGTTTCTGACTCATAGCGACCCCATGCACAGCAGAACAAAACACTGCCCGATCCTGCACCAGCTCCGTGATCCGTGCTATACTTGAGCCCATCATCATTTAGAAATGCTGTAAAGTATAAAACACAATCCTAGGAGAGGAAAATTATTTTGAAAAACAAATATAGACATGTATTGATGAAACTCATTAATACTCCTGCCAACCTGGTTATCCCTTATGTCTCTGTAATCCCCTAAAGGACTGTTTGAGGAAATTTAGTTGAAAAATAAAATACATTCAGGCTACCAGGGTCTCATAAAATGTAGCTATTTCAGAACCTGTGAATGATTTTACTACTCCTCCAGTACAATAAAGTCAGGAAGCCTCCTTTGGAGGGGACCTGAAAACTGGCAACTTTAAATTTAATTATTCTAAGATCTTTGGCACAAATGGAAGTTCTATATTGGCACTTGTTTTGAAAAGCTCCAGTCTAGACCTAAGTTCTTAGGGGACCAGACCCATAGAAAGCATCAGAGCAAAGTTCTCCTGCCACCAGTTAGCTCACCATCAGATAGATAAAGCAGTGCCATCAAAACTGGCACCACATGTCAATGCAAGGAGAATAGACACAAACAGGATACCTACCATATGGCAGGCATTTGAAATCTTTATTTAATAATTACAAAATCCCTGTGAAATGGTTATTATTATGCAGAGGAAACAGCTGAGGCTCAGAGAGATTAAGTAATGTGCCAGGGCACACAGCTAATTCAAACGTAAGTTCTATCTGCTTCCAGACTAAATGGTGCTCTACTCAGTACACTACACTGTAGCCAGTGGCATTTTCTGCTTCCATATGTCTCGGTGGAATTTAATAATGACATGCAGCATTCTGCCAAGTCTGTGATTGTTGTTAGTTGCCACCAAGTGGATTCCAACTCATGGTGACCCCATGCGTAAAAAGTAGAAGTGCTCCATAGGATTTTCAAGGCTGTGACCTTTTAGAAACAGATTGCCAGGCCTGTTTTCTGAGATGCCTCTGGGTGGATTTGAATTGCCAGTATCTCAGCTAGTAGTCAAGTGTTTAAGGCAGTGTATATATAGTGGAGCTCTGGTAGCGTAGTGCCTGAAGCACTTGACTGCTTACCAGAAGGCTGGCGGTTCAAACCCATCAGCCACTCCTCGGAAGGAAGATGGGACAATCTACTTCCATAGTGATACTGCCTCGGAAACCCAAGGAGTGGTCGCTATGAGTCGGGTCTGACTCGACGGCACATAACAACAACAACAATAACAATGTTTACTAAACCTCTTATATATTTGGGACACCAATATGAACTGCTCTATATATTGAGGAAACTATTAATGATCATGCTCTCTGGTAGCATAGTGGCTAAAGCACTTGACTGCTAACCAGAAGGCTGGCGGTTCAAACCCACCAGCCGCTCCTCAGAAGGAAGGTTGGGCAATCTACTTCCGTAGTGATACTGCCTCGGAAACCCAAGGAGGGGTCGCTATGAGTCGGGGCCGACTCGACGGCACATAACAACAACAACAACAACAATGGTGACAATAAATGGTATAATAGTTACAGGTTTCATAAATGTCTAAATGTAAAATAAAATGGATACTACCAGTGCAAACTAAGACATAACTGATGATAACTGATGATATAACTTTTTAGACACTACACCAAACATCATATTACAAAACACTTCATTGGTAATTAATAAGCTAATACAACTTAGCTCTTTAAAATAACCGTATACATGACTTCTACTTGTTTCTAATTAAAATACCTTCGTTTTCCACCCTTGTTTAACAAGAGAGTTTTAGAAATGCTATAAAGTATAAAAGAAAAAAATGCTATCACTCAACAATCTCTTATTATTGGAGTTTATCATATTTTCCACAAATCTCTATTATTTTTTTAA